GACATTTAGTCCAGTCATGTCCGACTCTAGGGGGCGGTGCTCATCTCCATTTCCAACCCACAGATCTAGCCTTTGCCAGAAGACAATCTTCCGTGGTCACGTGGCCAGCGCAACTAGACACGGAACGCCATTTACCTTCCCACCGTGGTGGTCCCTATTTATCTACTAGCATTTTGCATGCTTTCAAACCACTAGGTTGGCAGGAGCTGGGACAAGCAATGGGAGCTCACTCCGTCACGTGGATTCGATCTTACAACTGCTGGTCTTCTGACCTTGCAGCACAGAGGCTTCTGCGGTTTAACCCACAGCGCCACCACATCCCTGTCTTACTACCTATGTTTCTTATAACTGGCAGACAGCTCTTTCAATTACTTGCAGAGGCACGACTGACCATCTGACTTCTCTATAAGAGGGAGCTGAGTCATGCAGAGCCAGGGAAACTCTATCATCATCACTAACAAAACCAACACAAAATGGATAAAGACAACAACAGAAACCCCACTGAGATCAAAGCCATGCCAAGAATAATTAAAATCAGCCAGAACTGCACAGGTTGACTAATAACTATTTATCTGAATATATTGATCTAAATCAAAGGAACAAAAACGGGCAACAGAAGGAAGGGCAGATACCGAATAAAACAGTGAAATGCTGTTTCCCTAATCTGCATGCAGAAACAGTCAGTTTTACAAAAGAAGCTCTCTATTTCACAATTTGCGTTCCTCTTGGCAAAAGAGAGCCATTTAAAACATGAATTATTTTATCTTTACAAAAAAGGGAACACAACATGTTTGCCTTTCTTCCAAGCTCCTCTTCTTTTGTGTAAACTTTTGGAGCCCTGTTCTCCATCAAATTGCCTGAGAAAATTTCATCCAATAGCATTTCAAGAGTTCTCAGAAGCCAATCAGAACGTATGGGAGAGCGGGAAGTTTGAATCTGAGAAATGGTCCACAGGTCACCTCATAGGAATAATGTATACTTAGCTCCGAGCGCCCTCCATTTTGGATTACTGCCTGCCTGCCTGCCTCCGTCTTTGGTCCTCCTCCTTCTTTTTTTCCTTTTTTTCCCTTTTTTTCCCTTGACATTTGAAGGATTCCCCGCTTAACTATTGGTTTGTCCTTTCCTTTCTTGGATTATTTTTGCTTGCTAAGCGTGGTCTGTTACCTGCTGGGTTTGAAGAAAACATGAGATGGAATCAAGTGGAAAAGGGAAGAGACATCTCCCCATATTCTAGCAGTTTTGATTTGAGGAGGATTTGATTGTATTTCTCCCCATATTTTTCCCTATTTGCTTGGATGGGGAGATTTCCCTGTTCAACTGATTTTTCAAAATTGTGATTTGGTTAATTTACTGTGTGGAAACAGGATTGGTTGTTGTTTTTGTTTTTCATTTTCTGAAAAATGGAAGAACTAGTACATGAAAAATACAAAAACAAAAGAGCCGGGGGGGGGAGGGCTCCAAAACAAAAGAAATATTTAAAATATTTTTTAAAATCCCACCATGCTTAACGCCTAGGGTGGAGATCAAAGAGTGTCATTAATGTTGGACTTCATACAGCATAAAGGCTAGTGATTACTTACACATATTGTATACCTCTTTTCAGTTAATTATTTTTAATTGGTGTTTCCACTAATTAATGTGCCACTTACATTGTATCCACTTGCCCACAATCCATAAAGCAATCAGCATTCTCCATTCTGTTATGGCTTTCAAACATAAACTCTTTGGCCACAAAATAATTTTAGGATTTAAACATCCCTTTAAAAATAAATGCATCTAATCAAAACAAATGTGAACAGAGGACCCTAAATATGAAAGAAAAGATATATCTTTGCTGATACACAGAGCTGTTTCTACCTCATTATATCTATCTGGGACAGACAGCCATTAACTGCCACCACCACCCCCAGTTCACCCCTGTGGTCCTCATTCTTCATGCACTAAAATAAACCAGCATACAACATAGCTAATTAAAATCCTCCTTATCTTCTTCATCTGCTCTGGACATGTAACATAAAAGAAAGGAAATCTTTGCTACTCATATTTTGCATATAAACAGAAAAGAGAGAGGCCACAGGCCAATGCTATCATGTGATCTTTTCCCTTCCAACAGATGTCATTCATTTCTACCAAGTGCTGGCCTGAGACACATAAACTCATTTAATATACTTTATTTTTTTGCATTTAAAATATTTTTAAACCAACCTTCATCCTTACAGATAGCAAAGCAATGTACAAGACAGTACAAAAACTGGTAATGTAATAATAAAACAATTATTTGTGTATTTAAAATATATACAGCTCCTCCTGTAATACTTGAAACTACTGGCTTATAGGTAATCCTTCTATTTTTTTTTTAATTCATTTTATTTCTATGTCACCTTTCTCCAGTTACAGAATCCAATGGGGTTCACAAATTATGAATAAACTAACCAGTTAAAAACACAATAAATTACTACATTAAAAACAATTATAAACATATTAGCACTAAATCAATTAGTTAAACCTAGTAAAGCACCTTAAAACAGATTTGAACATATGCAAATTAATAATATGCAGCACATAAAAATAAAACTCTCCACTGCCCAATCAGCTGTTAAAAGCCTGCCTTAGAAAGTATGGTCTTCACTTGTCTTCGGATAGGACGAGAGGGAAGGAACCAATCTAGTCTCTCAAGGCAAGGCTGTCCATAACCTGGGAGCAACCACAAAGAAGGCCCTCTCACGCATTCCCACCAGACATGCCTGTGAAGGCAGTGGAGCTGAGAGAATGCCTTCCTTGAAGATCTTAAGAACCCAGAAGACTCATATAGGAAGAGACAGTCTGATAGCCTAGAAAGAACTCTACAAGGACTTATGGATCATGACCAACATTTAGAATTAAACTCAGAAATAGACCTGTAGCCAATGACACTGTTGTAATAGGGAGGGTTATGTGCTCATTTTAACTGGCCCTGGTCAGCAGCCCGACTCAGAATTTGGAACCAATTGAAGTTTCCAGAGCAGGTAAGATAATCCAATAACTAAGACATGTGTCACTGTAGCCAAACCTGGCTTCTCTAGGAATGGGCACAGTGAGTGCACCAGACTGAACTGTGCAAACCCACTCCTCGCCATGGCCAAGACCTGAGCATCCAGACTCAGGAATGAGTCCAAAATTACATACAAGCTGCAAGCCTGAGTTGTAAGCAGGCGTGTAATCCCATCCATCACTTCTCAGTTCCTCATTCCCTGATCTGCTTTTCGATTGGTGAAGAACAATTCTGTCTTACCTGGACTGAGCTTCAATCTGTTTCCCCTCATTCAGTCCAGTACCAATGGCAGTCACTGGTTTAGAGCAGGAACAACTTCCTCGGAGTCAGGCAGAAAGGAGAGCTAGAGCTCAGGGGTGACGCTAAACTCCAGAATTTTGGACAACCTCTCCCAGTGGTTCCATCATGTACATGTTCAGCAGCACAGATGACAAGATATAAATAACCCTGAGGGACACCAGAGGCCAACAGCCGGGGCAAGGAGCAGAAGTGCCCTGGCAGCACCTTCACCCCTCCAGGAAGGACTGAAGTCACTGTAAAACAGCGCTTCCAAGACCCATCCCTGAAAGACATCTCAGAAGGATATTATGACCAATAGTATAAAAAAACTGCTCAGAGGTCTGGCAGATCTGATAGGAACACAGTTCCTCTGTCCAGATTCCAGTGTAGGTCATCCACCAAGGTAACTAAATCTGTCTCTGTTCTATATCCAGGCCTGAAAACATACTGAAATGAATTTAGATAATCCATTTCCTCCAGGTCCAGGAACCCTTTGTAACAGCTTGTCTGTTTTATAAATATTATAACTTCTGCCTTTTTTTTAAATTTAAAGTGTATTACACAATTATTTAAAAAAATACAAATAAGACTAATTTTAGAGGAAACAAAAAAAAAACCACCCTTCCACAATAAAATCTCCTGTAAGTGGTTTCTCATCTCCCAACTTAACCAATCACTGTCATACCAGGAGATCTTTCCACAGAGCTCTGTATGGATCTGGAAGTTGCTACCCATTTTCCTCCCTCTGCTGGGAATAATTTGTGAGGTTTGATTAACTTGGTGCTTAAAATCAAGGATCAAGCTTATAATTCCTCTCCTTGGTGCCCCTTCATAGCTCCCATTATCCCATTCATACACCATGCTCAGTGAAGCTGATGAGAATTCTAATTTATAAAGTAATCTGTTAGTCATTTGTCTGCAAATAAAATTCTAAGCAATACTAAAAAGTATAAATATATCCATGGAGCAAAAATAAGAACTAGAAATGCAACAGTGGAACCAGAAATGCAACTACTGCTAACAACAACCATAATCAACACAATAAAGGAAAGCTTTCAAAAACAGAAAAAGTCTTGAACAAATGGCAAAAGCTATATAAGGAAGTAATTTGATAGATCTTTCCAGGACAGGGCATTTAGTACTGTGAGTACTGCAGAGAAGACCCAGCTCTGCATCCAAAGAATATAGAATGGTTATGCTTCAGCTTAGGCATTAGGTATTAATTCTGGCTGAAATGTGCCTGTTTGGAGCACTGACTCAAGGGCTGTCCACAAACAATCTAAGGTCACTGCAGGTTACCCGAATGGGACAAAGATGAGGCTCCCACCTTAACAGCTCCAAAGTCAAAAATTGCCTTGTGAAACCATAAATAAAAAATACTATATGTGTCAGAATATTAGAAGCACTTCATTAAAACAGATATCCATTGTAATGTATCTCACCAAATGGTTGTTGCTTGACGTTATGACATTTCTCGCAAATCAACAAGGAACTGTTGCTTGAAACACTAAGTCTGGTGTAAGTTAGGGATCATAGATATTGAAAAGCAAACCCATGTCCAAAAAGTCAAGACAGCTCCTACACTCACATCCCGACACTGAAAAAAATTGTCACCATAAGCACCAATCATTTTACACAGTATTTCCATATTTAACAGGTATTCTTGTTACGTCATCTAGTATTTCCTTACCTGTCACAATAGGGTATGATTGTGGCCCTGGAACACTGGCTCCTATATCTGCTGAAGTAGGGCTTGTTAAATTGGCCTTCATATCATCTAATCCACCAGCTAATGATGCCATGGCTGAATATTCCGTTGACTGAGGGCAAAGAAAAATGAGACAGCTTAATAAATCTTCTGGGTGTTAACAAGCAATGCCTAATGCACAATAAAGCCAGCCTACATAGGTAGATTCCTAATTTTCTTATTATTAGAATTGGTATCATTTTTACCCTCTAAGGTTCATGCTTACTTCATATTTCAACATGATTTCTGTCAGTTATTATCATCTACTTGCTGTAACCACACTGAGCAATGAAAATGTATGGCAGTCTCTCCTAACTTGACATACCGTATGTGTTTTATACTACAATTCCCATCATGATGCTGATCGTTGCCTATATTGACTTGGATAGTAAAGGTAAAGGTTCCCCTTGACAATTTTTGTCCAGTCGTCTTCGACTCTAGGGGGCGGTGCTCATCCCCATTTCCAAGTCATAGAGCCAGCGTTTTGTCCGAAGACAATCTTCCATGGTCACATGGCCAGTGCGACTTAGATATGGAACGCTGTCTGAAACTCGGATAGTAGCAGTCTCTAAAACATCTTGAGAGTATCAGCCTGCTGTAGCTGGTACAGGGCTTCAGAACACAGGTTGGGGAAAATGATAGCATCTTTCCAATGTGGATTACAAGGTAAGCTCAAAAAAATCATCATCATCATGCTATGTTGGATGGAAAAAAATGGTTGCAGAATTCCATAGGACTTCAGCTTTGGCAAATCAGCCTTGCTTAAACAATAACAACATTTTAACGGTAGTATTATGTACAAGAATGGATTTGTCATTGCTTGTCAGGCTGAACAAGACTTCAGTTTCGCATCTATGTTTTCCATTACTGCTATTTTTAAAAATGCAGTAGATTTCTTGTGCAGTACCCTATTATAGCCCCGGCACCCCAAAAGGCTCCAAAACAAGGAACATATTGTGAGACTGCAAGAAAACAGCATATTATGAGCACCAGAACATTAACACTGCTGTCATAGAACACACCACCCTTGAAATGCATTAAACTAAAATTGCTTTTCCAATAATGGTGCATTTCACCAGTACATAAGGTTCATAAACAAGGAATCATTCCTTGAAATAAGGAACAGGTGGCAAGAGTACTGGTGTATAGCAAATGGATGCTGAAAATCACTACAAAGAATGTCAAGCAAGCTATATGTGTGATTGTACCAATCAACTGGCTGTCCTGTTTACCTCAGCATTTTGTTAACAGGTTGTATTGTATTAATTACCAACTTATAATGTTGTCATCTTTGGTTATAGTCATTATTTATGTTTTTACTGCTGCTGTAAGGTACAGCTTTCATCTGTTGGTCCTCGGTTTGAACTGATACGATACTCATTTTAACGGTTGTTAATTTTCTCACAAGCAGTCTTCAGTACCAGGGTGTGGAGGAAAAGTACTTCTTAAACTACTTAAATTTAAACTACTTAAATAAACAAAATTTTAAACAGTTTCAAACAAAAGACTTTCACTATTGTTCTACTTACATTAACATAAAAGTAAGTCCTCTCAATTCAACAGAAGGAGTTGCAAGTCTACAGTATGTCTATGCATGCTGATACAAAAAGGAACGTCACTAGTACTTTATGCTTAGAGGATGATTGCCCCCTTGGTTGTCTCCACAAGACTGCAGTGTAAGCCATATAGGTAACAGCTTTGTGGACACCATATTGCCTGCAGTACTGTAGAACAATCCTTGACCCCCTCAAATGTATTTTTAATTTTTCCCACCATTTCCTGTTTTAAAAAGAAACAAATGTTTTATATGATTACTGTTTTAATGGGACTAATAGCAACAGACATTTGGGGCTGACTACCATTAAGACCACCAATCTACTAACACTGTGCCAGGTATCAAACTTCAAACATCTTCATGCTCTACGTTACTCTGGAATCCATTCTAAGGGTTATTTAACTATGTGTATACTTTTCCATTCATCACATAAAGTGCTCATAACGGCTTTTTTAAAAAAAAAAACCTGCAAGATTACCTCCCTCCATCTCACCCACAACAATGGCGCACATTTCAAATTAATTTGCTTATTGTGGATTATTTGAGCTCAGAAACAATGCCAGATGCAGAGCAGCAACCTTGCATACCGCCCCAACAGCATACCCAACTGGCATCTGTAACAGAGCAGGTGCTTTTGTGGCCTCCTCTGGTGTGAAATGGGAATTAACAGGTAAACTGGCAGTCAGCCTTAGAGTGGCATTATCTGGGTAAAAGGCAGTATCAGGCCCAGGCCCTCCTCTAGGTCTGTCAGCAGCCCTCAATAACAATGAAAGGACTTAAACTCTGCAGACATATACATTTTTGTATTTGAAAATTGAGTCATTCTTCCCTCTTTTTCCTCTCCTGCTCTTGCAAAGCTCATTGTTATAATTTTATCCAAAAGTCGTGTCTTGTATCAGGATACTAATATTCTAAATGAACCTGTTTTGTTTTAAACAACAACAAGCGGCATCTGCTTATTGTGGAGGCATCTGCATTAACCCTGAAACTTCTAGCACAGTCTCTCTTTTTTAATGGTAGAAGTGATGTTTTAGCCACTGGACACAAGGGGGAGCAGTGATATCATGGCCGAGGGGTCTGGCCCTCAAGCGGCTTGCTTGGCTGGGGAGGATTACTCCCACACTACACACATTGAGCTCTATAGCTATACCATCCCAAAAAAACCCCACCAAGGTTCATATTATGAACTGTATTTAACAGCTGCCACACAACTAAAAGATTAAAAATAAATACTACAACATTATAAATAATATCACAACAATCCAGGTGGTATGAAATACAAACACAAATTGAAAATATTTGTTACTATGCTTGCTCTTTTTATCTTCAGGTCCCATAAATAAAAATTTGAACAATAGCAACTTACCAAAAAAAAAATCAAAACAGTATAAAAACACTGAAGAAATGTCAAATATAATTTCAAAATGAAACATTATCTCTAAACGTTGCTTTGCTTATTCCTTACTTGGACCTTCATGGCTCCATTTTAAATAAAATTAATTAATCTAATCTATTATTCTTGAGTTTTGAACTGAGTAAGGCAAAGATGGAACCCTTCATCTTTAATACCCAAATCCACATAAACCTAAATAATGGGTAGGGTCATATAGTTTCTGCCTCCAACATCTCCATCCTTGACCAGTTTAACTCAAATATTGGGAAAGGGTGATTGCTCAGTGGTAGAGCACATTTTGTAAACAGAAGGTCCCAGCTTCAGGAACAATTCTATCCTTCAACTAGGCAGCCATCTTAAGAGGCAGATCCTGGGAAGTGGAGGTTGTCTGCCTGTTCCATCAGAGCCACTCAGCTGCTACTAGACTAGACTAGAGGGCAGAAGTATGTGATTCATGTGTGCTCTGATCTGAGAATGTCTACCACCCTCAACTGTGGTGGAGGATGCTGTGCCTTTACCAGTATTGAACAGTTTAATGAGTTGGTGTGTGCTCAGTGTAGGAGAAGAATCATCTTGTGCTTTGCTATTGACAGAGCTTAGAACATGTTAGAATTAACTCATTAACATTAAATTTATTAATTAAATTAACAATGTTAATTTTGATATGCTGTATTCCAAAGGGCACATCAAGATACATACACCCTCTCTAAAAGGAGAGATGCCTATGACTTTCTTCCAAAATTAAATTTATACTAGGAATACAACCGTTGGCCCTATGAATGCTTTTGGATAATAATCCTGACAAGATTTTGTTAAGCCAACCAAGTGTCTATAGTATTTGTCAAGGCTTCCAGGAAATATATTCCAAGAACATGAGGAGCCCTAAAGTTGAGAATCATTGCTCTAAAAAGAGACAACTGACCAAATCCAGTTAAACTTCTTCAACCTATCACTACAAGAAGCTTTGAGAGAAAAAATTAGGCATGGTTAAAAGTTGGCTCAGAGCCACACTGTAACATCCCAAATAGCAACTGAACAGCACCCAAGTCCAAAATCAGTTTGAAAGGTCAATCCAACCACTGGAAAAAATACTGGCTTCTATCTCCTACAAATAATGTTTCAACAATAACATTAATGTAAGCAAAACCACAATGCACAGCCTATGCACAAGAAGCTGGGATGATTTGCATAGTCCCTGCCCTAATTATATCTGAACACTGCAAAACAAAGTCCAATTCACTGCTGAAGACCTAGTTGACTGCCCATCCCACAGGTGTCTGCAAATTTGCCTGTTTAAGTGTAACCTTCTAGTTTTCAATGTACCTCTCTGTTCTAAAATATTATTATTATTATTATTGCACTCTATACCAAAGCGCATTCCAATAGTCAAAAACAGCTGAAATACAACCATAACATAATAGCAATGATAAAAACATACAGTGAGCAATTATCATTCAATAAGACAACAGTCCAAATAACTATAATAACAATATAATGATTGAAATACAGTAATTCTATCCCAATAATTGCCTATTTGCATGGTCAGCCCCTATGGTCCCAGCTTGAACAAGTAAGTTTTTAGGTCTCATTTGAATTTGTCCAACTATGGTTCCACGCGAAGGTACTGCTTATTAATGAACTTGAAAAGAAGAAAATAAAAGGAGGAGGAAGAGGAGTTGTTATCGGTACAAGTATGGAAATTTTGTTCATAGCTACTAAAGTACTAATCAGGATTAGGGCCCCATATGCTCACTTGCATTTCACCTTTCCCCCATCAGCAAGGGATGGCACCACATAAGGCCATTCTTTTTCACACTCATTTCATTTTCTGTTTCATTCAGTAAGAAAGTGTAACCACCTTAGGATGGCCAAGAAACAAAAAAAAACACCCTAGTTTTAGCTGTCTGTGTGTCTGCCAGTTCAGCAGCAGACCCTGCACTGATTCAATTGTGGAACAATATTGAGTTGTTCATGTACCATTCAAGTTGGTGATTCAAGGTATACAATCTTGCCTAATGACTGTTTTAAGGTCTAAGCTGCACTGAGAAGGAGATGTTCTTCCAAATTGGAAGGCAAATGCCAATTTTGGACACAGCTTTAAAAAAGTTACATTTCTGGACTTATA